GACAGTCTGAGGGATTAAAATGGATCACCAGTGCCTACGTTCATTCACTGGTGACCAGTGAGCTGCAAATGGACACATTTCCAATCCATTCCAGATATTTCACTGTCACCAAGTGATGACGCAGGTGTTTAAAAGCACAAATTGAAACAACTCTTAACTGTTCTCAGACATAGCAGCAAGTGCCCAGATAGCAGCAAAGTACTAAAAGCTACATCCAAGAATGGGAACTCTGCAGAGTAATTTGCTTCACAGCATAAACAAGCAGCTCCTCCCAATCTCGAGAGAGACTGTAAGTGCCAGGAGCTATTAATACCTGCCAAGGAAACCTTCCCAGTTTCACGTTTTGAGAAATTCACATTTGCTGCTATCAGAAGCGTAGCACAAGGCTACAAAACTGCTGGAGGTCGGGGCCTCATATCAGAGCTCCCCTGCAGAGACTGCAGTCAAGAAGGAACAGGATGGAACGGAGACTAGCTGAATAAATTTGGGGCATGTTAAAAAACAAACAAACCACAGCTAGTCATGATGAATCTCTAATTAAAACATCAGTAATCATCCCAAGATAAGTCAGACTGCAGCTCAATTTCTACCCCCAGTCAGACCAGCAGTTTCTCAGCCTTGAAAAGCCAGGCACAGCTGCAGAACCACTATAGGAAGCACAGGCCCAGCAACAACTTGCTCACAGCTCCTTCTGCGTCCCAAAGCCACAGTTCACCAGCCTCAGCATCAGTGATATGTCCTCCTAGAATCACAAGTACTTGCATCATCCAGGGCAAAACATCTCTTTCATGAAGTACACTCAACCCTTACTCATTCCCTTTCTATGTCTACAAAACCCCATTTTAATGCACCACCTGGAACCACAATCTTGTGCATCAGGAGACATCTATAAGCCTCTCTTATGGAACCAGATTGGTTCCTTCTGCAGTTTTACCAACATCCAGTTAGTGCCAACTCCCTAAGTACAACTGCCACCTTTTTCACCCACCCCAAAGATGTTCTCATTGTAGTAAACCTGACCAGCTGCAAGCACCAATACCACAACTGCAGCCTTCTGCATCGAGCTGTTCTGCTGCTAGTCCCTCCTGGGTTCAAAGTGATCCAGATCCACCACTATGCACCAACTTTAACTGTTAGCTGTGCTCCGCTGGAGGCAGCCAGCCAGATGCCTGCAGCACCCAAGAATTTGGTTCTAACCCACCTTGCCTGCACCATGACAACATTCATCATTGTGTGTCTGCTTACAGAGAAGCAACTGCTGACCACAGACATGCATCGCCTCCTTACTTTTTAATGCTGAGCACACAGCTGGATTCATGATTCACGCTTCTGTTGGGAGGACGAAAAAACATCTGCTCCTCCCCAAGACAGAAGAAAAAAGAAAGCTAGGCTCCAAACTTACCATGTGGAGAAGGGAGTACTGTATCCTCTAACATCTTACACAGCCCAGCAGCTGCAGGCCAGCAGGAACATTCTCCCTTGGTGGGAAGTTTCTCTAAGCTATCTCCTGTAACACAGTCCCCAAGCACAGCCACAAGGTACAAGCACCTCTTCTACCAGCTGCGTTAAGAGAATATGCTCTTGACTCCAAGCTCCAGGAGATTTATACGTGCTGAGCTGCTACTGGAAGAACCCCTAGCCCATTTCAGGCAAGGCAAACTGGATTAACAGAGACCTGTTATTTAAATCCTTGGAGGGAACATGGCTGGAAGGGATTGCATAGAACTAACTGAAGCACTTGTGCTGCAGGCCAGTGGCATGCTTACCTCCACGTAGTAGTAGTATCTGCCTTCATTAACACCACTAGAGCTGGATGCTTAATAAACCTTAGCAAACTTGACCAAACATTAGTTTTCCCCCCTGACATCATTCAAAGCGACGGACAAGAACTGACATCTGTGGTCTCTGGCTCTTTACACCTGCTAACACCACAATGATGAGGCTTGTGCCTTTCCTTGAAAGCCAATTAATGACCCATAAACCACAGCAACAGGCTTGTAAAGGTAAACTGCTTTACAGATGTGATCAGTAAATGCACACTACAGTCAAACTTTGTTTAGGATATCCACAAAACTCTTTTCTCATCCCCCCACCCCCTGCCTTTTAAATTAAGTCCTAGCAGTATTTCTAAAAACTTATTTTCATATTGATGACATCCTGCCTTATCACACTGACTTGCCTGTGCTGATCTTCATTCTGCTAAGGCTTTATTCAAGGCCCTGCTACAAGGAAAGTCCGGTCCTGTCATACTACGTTAACAAAAAAGATTTCTGTCCTTCCTTATGAGCAGACTACCCACATACACAGCTCATTTCTCCGATATATCAACACACGCCCAGCAGAGAGATAAGGAACTGGGATACACAGCAGCCTTTCCAGTACTTAATTACGACTTACTCCGAGGGTAAGTGTTGCACAATCAGTTTAGCAGCTGTCCCAAGCCTGCCACCCACTGGCCTCCAGGAATGTGATCTGTGCTGTGACTACTATTTTCCAAGTCAACACGTTTTAGACGTTGAAGCTGACTGCAGTGCACTCTACTGGCATAGCTGACACAAAACAACTTCCTTCAGACCAACAGCCTTATTGGCAGAGACTGTTTTACAGTTACTATTTCTTGCAGTTCTTGTAAATTAACTAACTATAATAACTACAACATCAGTATAAAGCCATAATTACACCCACTCAGTCATTTACATACTTTTAATCTGATCAGATTAATACTTTAATCCAAGCCAAGATACATCAAGGACGTATGGTACAAACTACACAGGAGCAAACACAAAATGTAAAAGCTCTGAAATTATATTAGGGAAAAAAAAATAATAAATGGGTATCTCAGCTTCAAACACAACTCCCAGGCAGTGCATGAAGCTTGCAATAGTCTACACTGCTTCTGGAGTAAGGACATAAAAGTGTCAAGTCAATACTAGATGCAGTCTTCCTCTGAGAAAAATAAGAAAGGCCTTTGAGCTGGAGTAGTTTGGGATAAACATAGTCAGAGCCCAACTTCTTCACACTCAGCATGAATTGTTCAGCTTGGGACACCGGGTTGTGCCAGGAGGAGAGGCTAGGAGTTTATATGATATCTGTCACAGGTGACATGGGTGCTACCTACCAGCTCTCTTCTATATAGGGGTGACACATCCATAAGCAATATACCTGGGTGGCTGCTGCTGGAACAAAGTTATGTGGGCAGAAACCGAGCACAAACTCCAAAAACCTTACATCAACCACAGGTTGAAACTGTTCCTGTCAAACAAAGGTAAAAGGAGACAGGATTCAGATAGTTTTCAGACAGGCTGTGAGAGTTAGGCTTGCTCAGTCTGGAAAAGAGAAAGCTCTGGGGAGACCTTATGGCAGCCTTCCAGTACCTGCAGGGGCTACAAGAAGGCTGGGGAGGGACTTTTTACAAGGGCCTGTGGTGATAGGACAAGGGGTAATGGCCAGAAGCTGGAAGAGCGTAGGTTTAGCCTAGATATAAGGCAGCAGAGACTAGACATAAAGAAGTTCTTTACCCTGAGGGTGGTGAGGCACTGGAACAAGTTGCCCAGGGAGGTTGTGGATGCTCCATCCCTGGAAGTGTTCAAGGTCAGGCTGGATGGGGCATTGAGCAACCTGGTCTAGTGGGAGATGTCTCTGCCACAGCAGGGGGGCTGGAACTAGATGATCTTTGAGGTCCCTTCCATCCCAAATCATTCTATGATTTTATGATTTTTTCAGCTAGACAGCTGCAAGATAGTCTGGCTGATTAGAGCTCCTCAGTTTTCACAGGGAGTGAAAGAGAAAAAGCAATAGGTCACCGAGAAGGATTGAACAATCCTTAGATACTGCCACTGAGCTGCCTGTTCCCAGAGCTTCTCTGGTTGAAACTGCTCCAGGCAGTCTGCCCAGAGCACAGCCACACAGCCTACTTTGAGCATGGTGAGAAGTTGAGTCACAAGAAATTAAGCAAGGCTCAGATAGTCGCTTTGCTCAGAAAGCTGCCTTTAAAAGGGTATGGCCCACTGACCTATAGCCACACATGCCAAGTGACAGCAGACCCGGAGAAAGGTGACAGCAGACCCAGAGAAAGGTTTACAGGCTGAGCTGTTTCTGCTATGGCAGCACGCGCCCAGCTGGCCACAGAGTTTGAAGAGGTTTATCTTGCATAACACTGGCTAGAGCTGTGTTTCCAGAAGCCCCAAAGTTTTAAACAGCCCCTTGTTGCTAGCAGGAGGCAAAGACTGACAAAATATGAAGCACTGTAAAGTAATCTGAAGGAGTCCAAGCCATCTACACGTACCAATGCTTTTGAAAAACTTGGTTTCCTTCACACGCAGCATATCAGAAGTGAGTTACTCAAACAGCAACATGACATGAAGTCCCCACATTTCATGTCAACAATCTTAGAGTCAAATATTCATCTCGAGTGTTCTGAATGAAAAGCCTCAGGTGATGAGTAATTTGTGACAGTTCTATGCCCAAAACCTTCAGTTTGTCATTTCACATCCCACACAAAATCTTGCCGTACAACAGCTTGTTGTATCAGACATTTTTATTTGCTGTATTGCCCAAGTGTACAAATACTGAATGTAGTTATAAATTCAAAATATATTGTAGTATAAATCTGTCTGGGAAGTGGAATGTTAAGATACTCACTTTATAAAATTACTACACTTTGATAAGTCACTCCCACTTGCAAGTTTTAAGCATATCAGGGCTACAAAGAGACAGAAGAGACAAATTATGATCCCACAAAAAAAGGAGTTCTCAGAAAACATTTTCTGGTAGATGAAGTCAGTCAACAGCAAATTGGTTTCTTACATTTGACCCATTTTGAGTTATCAGCCAACAGGATGTTAGCTCAATCCAGACAGTTCATATACAATTTGGCCCTCATTTGACCAAGTCAATGTATCACTATCAACATATTTAAGTATTAGTCAAATAGAATCTCAGTGAAAATATTTATTTTAAGCTAATGAAGTCAAGCCAATAAGTTGCCCCTGGCCAGTGAGTGCAATTGATGCTTTTTTCACATTTTCAGGATAAGGCGCCTCAGTTCTTGAACAAGTCAATACAGCTTTGCAGGAGAGACACATTGTTCTGGAAAGGAAGAGAATTAGTTTCAGATGCGTATGACTGATAATTTAAATCTTGCCTTCCACAATGAAGTAGTAGGTCTGCTTCAGGATTCTGCAGCCTGTGACAATGCTGAAGAGGTTATACTGCAAAGATAAGCAACCAAGCAATAAAGCATCAAACCCAGATCATACAGTCTGCAATTTGCCTTTTCCTGCAGGCCTGCAACCACAACTCACTTTGTGGAAAGGAGAGAGGCAAGAACAGGGAGTTTATTGAAGTGGGCCGAACTAAGCAGTGTTGTCAAGTCTTTTATATGTCGTTCAAGCTCAGCACTAAAGTAGCTCCCCGTGACGAAAGCCAGGACTGACTCACAGGGAGTGGGAAATCACACTTTCCCTCTTCAAATGAAGCTGAGGATGCAGTTCTCTCTTCTTGCTTTGTCTCTACACTAAACTAACAGACCCTGTAACCCATGTACACTTTCCTGGATGAAGCTGACAGCACATGGTGCAGCTCTCTGCAGCCTGCTTCAAGCCTGCTCAGTACACCTTGGCAGAGGCTGTGACAAAGCTAGTGTCCCCCTTCACTGACAAGCCCAGTGAGATGGGCTGACAGCAAGATCACAAGCTACAGGATCTGCTCTCATAGCACTCAGGAACACCAAAAGCAGCAGCTGCCTCTAGATACAGGAGGGGTCAAATCCCAGAGGAGGCTGCCTGATGAGAAGTTACAGGAGCTGTTGTGTACTACCTGCAAAATTGAGACATCTCACATGCAGCGTAGCGGGCTGGTGTTCAAGGAGTGACAGGCTGAAAAAGCAGACTTTGTGCACCCGACAGACAAGACTGTCAGTGTGTTCTTTGTAGACACTACACCTACAGCTTTTCACTTCCTTTCCTTCCCTTCTTTGGACCTCAGCTGAAGAGGCCAGTTGTTATATTTTGCACTTCCTAGTTCTAAAGGGAACCCAGCAGATCTTCCAAGTTACACAGTACTCGGTTCTCTCAATCTATGTCTGTTAAATGTCAAAAAGAACGCACCTTCGCGTGCTTTATTTCCAGTTCTGCCATTTCAATTAGGTTTTTGCGGAACGCTGCTATTCTCTTCTGTTTGAAGCTCATCAGTTCTGTAGGGAAGAGAGAACGAAACAAAGATAAGACAGACATACAAACTGTGACTGAAGTTTCAGTAAAATTCCCTTCTTTTATATTGTCCAAAGATATCTAAGAACCAGCCTTTGGAACTCTGTATGAGGCACTAAGCTGTACTGAGACAGAGTAAAAGTCTGTTTGCACAGTTCCAAGATAACTAATTCAAAAGTCTGAGTAGTTACCTTGAGGTGAGGCTGTAAGCAAGAGTTCAGTCTGCAAAGCAAATACTAGGGGCTTATAATCAGTGTTGGTCTAGTATTGAAATTCCTCTACTTCAATCATTCTTAAAAAATATTTAGCTGCACTAACTCTACAGGCATCTATACTGCCCTGGGGACATCCAGATACTTGCTTCAGGAGAGTATTCAGAAGCCTTCAGTAGCTAAAGGCCAGATAGTGACCTGGACTGCATTAAGATCTGCCTTCAGCATAAATACAGCAAAGCCTTTTTTACCTTGTTTTGCAGATTCTGAAATCTTCTCAAACTTCTGACAACAATCCTGTTGATGTGCTTCAGCCAGCCTGACATCCTTGCTCTTTAGTCTGGCTTTATCTAAAGCTTTGTTCGAGTTTTCATAGTCGACAAGAGCCCTTGTACGCCTGTATAGAAGATCCTGAAAGTAGACAGGAACAGCACAAAGGCTTAAGAAGACCACTTCTCAAATTGAGGTTACACCTACCTTAGCAGCAGGAGGTTTCACTTCTTTCAGCACCAGATTCTGCTTCTTCCAACAAGCTATTATAACCTGCTACGCTCTTGGCATTGCAACAAGAGCCTTTCACCAGCTGAGCATCAAATTTTTGGGACAGTCATTTGTACCTTAGTCAAGGCAGAAGGCTACTGTAGGCATCGCTTCTTCCCTGAAACCAGCTTTATTCTCCTACAAGGCAGGCCTCTCCACTAAGGAGGAACAGAACTTCCTGAATATCCCCAGTCTATTTCTAAGTAAGGGATGCACTATCGTTTGTTGGAGATCTGACAGTTTGACCCAAGCTCTCTACTAAACTGGACACAAGAAGCAGTACAGGGCTCAGCATCAATTCCTTTCAAATCCAGCAGCAGTAGTCTTAATATCTAAATAGCAGCACACCACAAAGAGGGAGCCTGTAGCAAATGCTCCAGGGTACACGACATTAGATATATGGCACTAGATGAAGAGGCCCAGACACCATTTCTCATGGCCACCCCCTTGCCAAGTCAAATATTGATTAGAAAAAAAGAGTTGTGGGCAAGGCTTTTGCAGCTAGATCAATCTACCAAATCCCTCTTGGAAGGCCAGACTCCAGCAGTCTTCACATGTTACCACATTCATGATGAAGTATTTCCATAGTTGGTATTTACTTCAAGTTTTTTTAACCATCAGTGGTTTCACTGACAATTCGTGAGTACTGAGGCAGAGGAAGGGTTAGAATGCTGCTGCAGACTCAAATTCAGTTTCACTCTAACTTAGAGAAATTTGAAGCATTCTTCCTCTTTACATGCCAAAATAAAACAAAAGCAGCTATTTAAGATCTCTGACCAGTAAGAGAGCTGGACTGCAGCTAGCCAATATTTCTATATTTTGCTGTGGTTTCAGAGTGTCAGGTTTTTCAGACAAAAGGTCCATCTTCCTGTTGTCTTACAGCACAAAAAATACCACGAGTGAGTCACGATGGCCATAATAAAATTAAGCTTAAAAAAAACAAAACAAACCCTAAACAACTGTTCTTACCTTAGCAGCTTCTATATTGAGCATGTAGTATCTCAGCAGTTCAGACAGCTTTAGGTCTTCATCAGATGAAACTCTACTCTCTACCTTCTGCAGAAAAGATCAGAGAGTTGGTACGTAAGAAGAAATAGCAACATCCAGATTCAGATATTCTTTTTTTGCCTCCACAAAGCTTCTCTTACCCTTAGTTTCTCAAAGAGCTCAGCAACTTTCAACAAGTACCTAAGGGAAACAAAATAAAAATGCATAAACATGTTTTAGATACTTCTTAGTCTGATAAATGCCAGGATCAATTGGCAGGAATCCAAAAAGCTAAAGGCTAGTGTTTAGTCCTGCATACAGACTCAGACAAGGGCACGAAAAAAACCCTCAGGATTAAGCAAAGACCTGGACAAATGACTCAGTGCAAGAGGTGCTGGAGTCCAGTCTAATAGACCAGTATGGTTGAGCAGCTAAACACCATTTAAAGAAATAATACTGACCTCCAGAGCATAAAGGTCTTGTGGAGAATTTCCCTGCTGCTGCCCTCCAGGAGGGAAGGACTATCTTGTTTGTTCAGCTATATACTGTTTTAACAGGGTCTTGTAAATTGACAGCCAAGTTTAGAGAGGTGAAAGAATTCACCTCAGAAAAAGGTGACTAGGTTTCCATAGCTTAAAAAACCTAGAACTCTAGAACTTCAAAGATGCAGAAGACAGTAGAGGCCTACTGCAAGCTGTGGTTGTATTTAACAACACATTAGAACACAGATGCATAACCCCTTTCTCATTCTCAGGAGTTTGTGATCTTAAAAAAAAAAAAAAACATATATCAAGGAGACTTCTGTTTAGAAGGAGCTTTGATGACCACAGCATCATTCAGCTCTAGGGCACAACTGCCAAAAGATCAGTTAGTTAAGGTCAGATGCAATTCCAAGTCTTAGGTCTGCTACACCAGGAGCATCAGAGAAAAGAAAGTTTCAAGGCCACTTGAAATTCAAAAAACCTTAAACTAGCTGACTCAATCCCCTGGATTTTACAGAAGGAACCTGATATTTCCAGACTCTATATATGTTTATGAACACATAGAATTGTTTACTTTTTGATAACTGTAGGTTCTTCTAATGCCAGGCTGTTTAAGCAAGCTGAAGTATAAATATAGTCATCCGCAACATCTGCAAGAACAAGACAAGGTTTTCAGGCTGAAATCAGCAAGACTGCAAGGTCTTTAGAAAGGTCTTTGAAAGGATTCACTTTTATGAGATCTTGTCATCTTATCTGCTTTTGCACATGCATCCTTGATTCTGTTGTAGTAGTTTACAAGAAAAGTCTTCTCTTGCTCAAAAAAGTCTTCTACGTCCTGAAAGAGAGTATGACCTGTTAAAGTCAAAGTTAGTAACATGACTGCAGAATACAAGCTCTTCCCTATTTGGGGAAGGGTCAAAGAAATAACCACAGCCTACTGAGCATCAGGCCCATCAATCTCTACTGAAGACAAGGGTTCAAGATAAGGTCCTGACAAGACAAGTCATTTACAAACTGAGTAATTTACAAGCTTGCTTCATATCTATACCAAGCATTATATACTCTAATGTTTCATGACATATTCAGACAGCAAGTCCATTAGGAAGAGCTACCAGGGCAACACAATAGAAAAGATGAAGCTGGACCAGTTACAGGAGTCTTTGGCATTTGATCTCGTACAGTGCAAGCAGAAACCCATAAATCACGTCTGTTCAGAACTCTAAAGTAGACAAAAGCCACAAGCATATTTGCTGAAGGTGTAATTCCTTCCCCCACTAGTATCAGGTGTTAAGGCAACTCCTCTGCAGTACACATCTAATTTTTAACAGCCTATAGCTTCAATGTCTTATTTCTACAGAAGTCAAAATTAATATATGCTACTTTGCCCAACCTGGGACAGCAGTAACAAGGAAAGTTAGCATTAGAAACTGAGCCTCACACACACCAAGCCTGGAGCACCTGTAACTGACTTCCCTGAAGCAGGAAGCAGAAACAATCAAGATCAGGACAAATGAAGGGGTAAACCAGCTGCCTTACCTTGACTCCAGAAAACAGGACTTCATCAGCACTCTTAACCACACTTTTTAAAAAGCCACCAAACATCTCTTTTGTGTTTTTCCTCCGAACACTCAGCTGCAACAGAGAGGCCAAGACAGCTTTACAGTTTCACTGAGAGGGCAAAAAACAAAGTGACTATTTTGACACTTGCAGTGTAGTAGCATCATTTATATCCAGCACATGACAGAGCAGGCTAGTTTCCAAGTTCTCCGTATTACCTGTATGAACTGTATGAAGATGGCTTGACTAAATGTTGTTAAACAGATTTTTTTGCCATTCTCAGAAAAAAACTAGTTTCCCCTTACATATCTTGGCTCAACACCTATCACTCCTAATTAGGTGTGACAAATGCTAACTGCAGCAGATGCTAACTTTAACACATACCAATTCTTCTCTTTTAGAACCATGAAACACATAGCACAGGCACACCTCAGTCATACTTGTTCTTAAGATAAAGACATACAAAGTTGGCTTCCTAAACAGCTTGACTAGAATTAAGAAACACTATGAGATTCATAGTAGAAAAAGGTCTAAAGGTCAGGCTTTCATCCTTTAATCATGTCACAGAAGTACTGGCAATATCTGCTTGCTGATGCTGCATGTAAATTTACATAACATTAACAATGCCCACATGAATTGAGAGCACTCCTAACACCCTGCCTCAGGGGAAGAAAAAAAAAAAGTCTTACATCCTGGTCATACTCCAAGAAAACATGAAAATTGTGATCTTTGCTGAGCACAGGATGAGAAGAAATTCGCTGAAGGAAGATTTCATGTGATGATACGGTCTTCTTGAAGACAGCGAGGTATTCACTGAAAGGAAAAACCAGACTGAGATCCTCTCTTGTACTGCCTTCAATATACAAAGAATTGATTTAAGTTTATCCAGTGCAAATATTCAACAACATGCATCTGGAATAGCTAGCTAGTGATAAAGAAGTTATTTACTATCTCTTTAGCTAGAAGTTTTCTAATTTGAGAGAAATTTTTCACCACTCCCCAGCTCCAGGATTGTAAAGATTATACAGCAGCAGACTCCTTTCAAAATAGTCACACTCAAGATCAGTTATCACCAAGTAACTTGCACACCCCCCACCCCCCCGGAGGCTCCTTTAAGTGCAGCCTTTGGCAGTAGACTCATTCTACTTACGCTTCTAGCTCTTGCTTCATTTTGGCAAACTCTTCTTTTGTCATAGACACTTCTCCTTCCCCTAGCTTCTGCATCTTCTCTCTGGGACCATCAAAGTCAGGCTTTGAAGGTGCTGGAGGTATCTAGCCAAGGAATTGGTTAGTGATAGATGCTGCAAATAAAGTTTCCAAAATTACTTGCAGTCTTCTCTGGAAGAAGGCCCTTTAGCCTTAGTCATGGCAAGCCTGCAAGGCCCTGCATCCAAGAATTCTAGGGGCATGTTGTTGTCTAGGTCCTTGTTTGCCCCTCCCAGCTCTGTGCTATCCCTGCCCCAGGAGGAAAAATCAATCAAAAGGAATCATATCTATAATCTACCCTGTAGCCAGCCACCTTCTGTGGGCCACAGGCCTCCTACAGAACCATGACAGGAAAAAAAAAAAAATACTGCATTTAATACAGTATTCTACTGTGTCATCTTCAAGCAGATATTAACATCAGAGTCAGGGACTCTCAGAACATGAAGCTTTTTTTTTTTTCTTCCTGCTCCAAGCTACATGGAAAGTTAACGTAGAGTCATACCAGTCCAGCTGGGAATTAAGGCAAAAGGAAACATAAGGAATACCCAGGTGATGAAACACTGATAATATTGGTAAAGCAGACTTCGTGCCCTTACTAGTATGCACTTTAAATTGCCAGTCTTTTGCTTAGAAGTACGTTTTTTAGGAAGCACTTACAATAAGTCCCGCATACTCTTCAGTTTCAGTGAGCGTATCATGCAGCCACACAAAATCTTCATGCTGCCTTGTAACTGAAAACTCTGGGCTTTGAAAAGCTGGCAGTGTAGTCTGGAAGAGAAGATATAGAAGCCCTACTGTTTTGTAAATTAGTGCTTTTAGAAACAGTTCTGTCCATTTCCAAAGGAAGCTATTTTGCCTAGTGAGAGCCTCGCCTACTCCCTTTTAGCTGAGCTGGCACTCATTTGAGAGCCTTACTACTATTTAAAGAAAAGACACTGTTGTGGAACAGCATTAATGTGGTTTATTTTGTGAAGTTTCACAGTAGCTGGTTTCCCCCACACCTACCCCTCAGCCTTCTGGTGTCAAGCTAGGATTCCTTAGCAAAGCTAATCTAGTGTATCAGCTACCTCAAACACTCTCTAAACAGAGACAAGTCTCAGGAAATTTTAAGTTTCTGTATGTGTAGACCCTTAGGTCACCTTTAATGGGAAAGCCTTCATCTAATTAGATTTCTTTCACTACGAAACCCATATTCACAGATATGTGCATTGCAAATAGAGATTACTTGCATAACATTAACGAAGACCTCTTTCCTGATCTTACCTTAGTATGCACAGTGAACTTCACTCTGTCCTTTTCACTTAGGGCATCAGGTATATCAATTTGGAGAGAAGGATCGACATTCAGGTCTACAGATACAGACCTCAGCTGCAACAAAATTCACAGTATAAGCTTTGGTCATGCACCAAGTGGGTTCAGTGAATCTAGACTGGTCGTCAGCTGTCAAAAAAGAACCACATTGCACTACACGGCTGCCTCCAGGAACAGAGCATAGGGACGAGCCTGACAACCTTGACACCACCTGCCCATCACCATGACAAGCCTTCCCTCGCACACACAGGAAAGCAAAAAAGGCTTGTTAGTTTGAAGAACCGGTTGTTAAGGGTTCACACCAGAGGTACTGGGGAATCTTCTCTCAAAAGAAGCATCCTCCTTTCCAATACTTCTCCAGCTTCTTTACTTGGAGCACATCAAGCCAAAGCCTATTATACCATTTAGAAGACAGCAACAACCCTAATATTCTCTCCTCGTTATCCTGTGCCTCCACAACATGTGGGAGAACAGCTTTTCAGAGCCTAATCTGCCAGAACTACTGCACATGTTCCAGGAGCTGTTCTGACAGCTGCAGAGGCTGCATTCTTTCTGCTCTTAGAAAAAGATGGGGCATGAAACCTTCAGGTTTCCATCAAGTCCAAGAGGCCAAAACAGGCCCCAAACCCAAGAACATTGTGGTACTGTCACTGCATATTTTTAATCATATTTTCAAGATACCTGACACCATGATGTTCATTGCTGTCAAAATGCACATTTGCTGCTAAAGAACACCCCAAAATGCTGGTACAAGAACCAGCCTCAAAGAGATCTGAACTTTGCTTTACAAAAAGCTATTTATTGCTTGTAACTGCAAGTTTCTTCCTCTCCTAAATTCAGGTTTTGTCTTATCCTTTCTAGACAGAGCTTTGTGTCTGGCAACACTTCAATATTACCGGTTTCCACTCAGAGCAGCTCAGAAAAGGTTTTCTGCACATGCTACATGAGGGACCCTTTGCAGGAGACCTCAAGAGCCTACCAGGTTCTTCAGTAAGACCAGGCTTGCCTTTCCAGCGCTTTACATGGGACTTAAGCAGAGACAGAATCTTCCTTCGCGGACTTAAATCTTCATTCCTGTAGCCTATATCCAGAATATGATTTCAACCACACTTAAACCTTTTCTAGAACAGTGGAACAGCCGTCTCAGTTGAAGATGCTGTAGGTTAGACATTCTCAAGCCAGTCCTACTGGAATTCCTTACAAGGACAGAACTTTCCAACTCAGAGCAGATGAGGCTTTGGTGTTCAACATGCCACTCTATTCTGGGAAGCACCCATACCTCACTCACGAATGGTTAAGATTCAAGTGTTGCCACCAGCCCATTTCTCCCCCGGTTTACAATTTTAACTTCCTTTAGCAAGTCATACTTCACTGCTTGTACCCAACCATTGAAGACAAATGGCTTCAATTTCCTACATGACCTCCAAAGCAAGCACTAAAGTTTAGACTTTTCCAGTATAGGTTATTAAGATTAATGCATGCATCCAGTTCTTACATCAAGTAGAATCACATACTTAGATATCAAGGAATAGGCTACGAGACGCTAGTGATCATCAGCTTCTGTCACCCATATTCCAGAAGCGTGAAGCAACCTCGGTCTGTCTCATTACAGTGGCTCCCAGGCTATGAAATCTGTCTTCTAAGAGGCTCTCCCTTTAGTGCTGCAGCCTAACAAGTCTCTCTTACTTTCTGCATAAGGGAGAAACTGCCAGAGATCAAGGTCACATCACAGGAAGTTTGCTCAAGAGCAATCATCAGAGCCAGGCTGATTCCCAGGGTTATCCTTCAGATAATTCTGAATGTCTCCCTGGGAAAACAAGCTAGAGAACCTGATCATGAATGATACTGTTCTGTCACTGCAGCATACTAGTGAGCAGATCCAGGCAGCCAGGAGCTTGCCCCTACCACCTGCTAAGCAAAACAAGCTTCAGCACCAAAGCAAATAGTGCCAGGCAGCATTTGAGCAATCCTGTCACATCAGAGAGTGTGAATGCCACCTTCAGCTCCTGTAAAGCTTCAGGAGAACTGTTGAGAGATTACCCTTTACAAGGTGAAGCTTTGCTTACAAAAGCTTTGGAAACTCCCTGCCTCCCAGTCTGGCCATCTGCATACTGCAGTCCAGATCTGGTAGATGACAAGTCTCTCCAGCCACCTGCAGAGGACACAGCTGTCAGCCCAGCATATGTTTGCCTCCATCCGGCCTGGCCCTGCCTAAGACTCCCACTAGCACTGATGGTCACTGCTGTCATCTGTGACCAGGCTCTCGTGTGTAAGTGAGAGACAGTTCACTCACTGAACCCTCATCCTTCCAACCACACTAAAACGACTTCTACCTGCTGCATATGAGCTGTTAGCTAGAGTTAGGAGGAGGTAGGTAAGAGACTTCTTAAAAGTCTTATGACTAAGGAAAAGGCCTTGCATGGAGCACACTGAGCTTCCCGTTCTGACTTCTGTAGGACTGAAAGCTTTTATCCCATCCTGGTTATTGCCTTGGCAACAAGCTAGGATGTTGAGAGTACAGAGTGAGCCCTGAAACACAGTTCTGAGCAGTTCCAGCACTGCTCACATCCAAATGGATGTAGCAGGACCCCAAACACTGTGCGGACTCCAACAGTACAGTCACTTCTCTCCAGTCATTCCATGGGACAGGGTATTATATTGCCCTACAGGCACGTGATTCTGGTATTTGTTAGGAAGGCACAGACCAAACAGCACAAAGGTGCATGGTTCAGAGGTCACTGACACTGGTTTAGGCAGAAGCTGCCCCATTCAGGCACTAGAGGAAGGACAGATAGAAGGCCACCATTCAGACACGAGTTTCAGAGGGAGCACAGCTCGCTGTCTGCTGCCAAATGAAAGAAAGACAAGTTGGTTGGTGTTTCCCAGCCAGATAACACCAGCAGCCAAAGCAGCGAGATGCAGACCCCAGTGTTCTGCATCCTGCTTACTTATCTTCACTGTCCAAACAGGATCAGCAGTGCTAACAATATGAACTGCTGAGTCTGGAAAGTACGATAAGCCAAAGGAAGCTGCTTCCTCTCAGCTAAACTAAGGAAAGGATTACACAAATCAGCCAGTCCTGAATTTGTGAACTTGCTTATTAAGTCTTGTAGAGAAAGTAACCCATGATTAGATGCTGTGCACAGACCTCTCCATGCCTAGCAGTCGCCTGCACAAGCGATGGGCAGGAATGGACACAAGATGGTACCGCTTTGCCCGATTAAAGCGATTCATGTGTCACAGGCATTTCTCCCCTGCACTACCACCAGAAACTGCAGAAGCAATAGGGCAAGAACAAAACCTAGAACTTCAATAAACCCCAGGAACGCTACTGCAGGAGAGCTTACTGCCCCAGCAGGGCCTTATTTATGCTGAAGCAATTGGGAGTCAGCAGCAGGGCTCAGCTCTGCACTCCAGAACACTATACACTACACATACAGGCCAAATTGTGCGACCAGTACAGAACAGGACAAGAGTCAAGAAACACCCCTTTACAGAGTGGTGGGATTCTGCCCCACAGGACTACATGAAGACACTCACTAAAAGAAAAATAATCTTGTACCTCTCCTACCCTAAACATCTGCTGTAAATGCACGTGACCCACTCTACACTTAAAGGCCACTGCAGGCTCAAACATTAAGCATATCACTGTTTGAAGACAGCACAGGATTAAGTGACTTCAACTTTGCTGAAGGCCGCACTCCTGAAATGTTATCTGGAGCCATATGAAAGCACTGGTCTGCTCTAGTCCTGTGAAGGTCACTGCAGGTTCCTCACTCAGGGCCACAGACCTTTAGGATTACACAATCCTGGCAGCAAGGCTCAGACTACAAAAATCATTCACACTACCTGACTTCAGGAGGATTACAGAAAGTGCTGGAGCAGCATTTCTTCACTAAACTGAAAGCAAGAAGGCCGTTCTTGTTGGCACAGCTCCACAGAGCACTAACCCAGGGAGCACCTAAAGCAGATGTTAACACACTGACCCTTGATCAACACAAGCACCAGCTCCTGCAGCATTAGCAGCTCAACATTCCAGACTTTATATTCCACCATGCCTCCTACACCCATCCTACTTTTTTTTCAGGAATGAAGACCAACTTGCTTGTGGTCACATGAATGCTGCACAGAGAATGGAGCTTTTACCTCCAGGCCCCAAGCTTGTTCCTTTATCACAGCAAGAACCCAACCCAATGCCTTGCCAGGAAACCACTCCATCTTAGCTCTCTGGCCTGTCACATGTGGCAGCTCCTTCATACCTGGGGGCACTTCTCTGCTATGGTGGCATTGCTTCTTCCCTGCACTGGACATAACAGGCAAGAGAACTAAAGCTTCCCTATCCCAGTTACCAGAAACCAGTCTGTCACCCCACACCCTGGAGGGGATATAATCCAAGCTCAACATCTGATAAGAGATTATTCCTTACTTACAGCACATGTCCAAAAAGCTACAGAGGATGGCACCTCCTGGAGCAGCACAGTGGGCAAACAGCTGGGTTGGGCTGTGCACTGAAACACCCTCCCAAACCCAGCACAGTGCCCCGACCATCACCTCTCATTTCCCTTTCTCAGAATGGTTTGCAATGACTACAGCAACTTCTGCAGCCACTCTAACGCCTTCCACTTCTAGGTTCATGCCTCTTTGGTGACTTCTATTGGGTTCCACAAAGTTTCTTGAGGATTCAAGAAAAAAAACAAACCAAAACCAACTTTTTTCTTGTTCAGTAACAATACTGTCCACCACAACTGTCTGACCTGGAAATGAGAACAAGATATGAAGCAGAGCCCTCCAGACTAACAGACAGTCATCATGTTGATTAATGTTTTTAGGCTTCAGGACCAGATGACTGAAAATAGATATTGTGGTCTTAATTAGGGCACCACAATAATCACCTGATCTGGAAGCCCAAGAGAAGAGTCAGCAGAGAGCATTACTGAGACCAATCCAGGTAAAAAGTTTTACACTGTTTGCTTTTTTTCCTATTCCTTAGAGATGTTTTTAAAAACATAATTAAAAAAACAATCATGTAAGTAAATCCAGTGATCACCAACAGCTCT